TACGACGAAAATCGGATGCAGTGTGAATCCAGCATAATATAGAACCAGCTTAAAGCCCATTCTACATTAAGCTGGTTCTACATTTGCCTAGTTTACTTGTGCACTTGATACGGATACCAACTAGTAACTTTCTATTGAATTATCTTAATTTCGGCGAAACGTATAGACATATACATGATATGTGTATTTAATTGATCATTTGATGCATATTCTACCAATTTAATACATCATTCTTTAAATACATTGCTGAAATTAAAATAATTTAACAGAAAGTTACTAGTTAATACGCGTATCAAGTGCTCGGTGTAAAAGGGGTCATTAGTCGCATCGCAGTGTCGCAAACGTTGCGGTCCAATCAACGTCAAGCTAGCTTGACTCCGGTTGGACTGCAACGCTTATGACACGCTTGCGACGCTGCGATGCGCTCAATGTAGAACCAGCTTAATGTAGAATGGGCTTAAAGGCCATCACACGTACAAAAATTTTAGTAATCGTAAGGTCGTAAGCAAATCGACCAATCAAAATTACGATCTCGCGTTAAAGTGAAAATTTTTATGTGCGTATATTCGTACATATACACACATACATACAAAAAATTTTCACTTTTCACGTATCCTCCCTAGGGAAAAAGTTATATGATCGCTACCCAAGGGTCCATTCCGTTTCACGCATGATGTACATCATTTATCCTTGTTTAACATTCAGTGAATAACAAGAATAAATGATGCATCATGCGTGTAATGGAACGCAATCCAGATGTTGGCTTCACGTTTAGCACCCTATTCCTCTTCCAGTAGTATATGTTCTAAGGTTTCTACACACATCATGTTATCCCTTCCACCATGATATGTATATAACTCACTGAGTTGATAAGATCGGAATCAGACTATGCATTGAAGATTGAGATTGAAGAGTGAAAAATTCAAATTGAACCAATCGAAATGAAAGGAGCTAAAATTTCTTTGTCCTTATTGGTCAAATTTCAATCTTCAATCTTCAACCTCAATCTTCAATGCGTAGTCTGATTCCGGTCTAAGGCTGCGGCACTTGACGCTACAAACGCTTCGAAGCATTCTTTGGCTACGTTTACATCGTACGTTTAGTCCACGGCCTATACCCCAAATTCGACCTAATTTAGGTCACATTACTATATTTAGGCCGCACACTGTAAACACTATTATACCTGAACCGACCTGTTATAAGTCAGGCCGGATTTTTTAGCGCCCTCACCTAAAATAGGTCGTCTATTTTCTCGGTGTAAACGCGCGACTGACCCGACCTAAAAGCTTCGTAATCATTTGCTCGGTAGGACACGCTGTTTTGTTGAATAGTTAGGTTAAATCGGTTTGTTATTTACTTCTAGAC